ATTGGGAGTCTGTATAACATGGTGGTTAAGACTGGGGGCTTTGGTGCCCATCTGGGCCCTGCCATGGGAGTGTGGACACAGTTCTCTCCCGGTCTCAGCTTCCTTTCACATGGCCATCATGATCTCTAATTTAGTGAAGATTAAAGGCAAGAATGCACCCAAAACCCAGCCCCTGGCACAGAGGAAGTGCTCTGCAAGTAACAGTTGTCAGTCAAGCAGGCCTTCTTGCCCTCTCCCTTGGAGATGCTCCTCGAACCCTCCATCCCCCTTCTCAAGGAGACAGAAATAGGCTGAAGAAGAGGGTGTGCTCCACATGGAAAATGGGTTCCTCCAGATCCCAGCAGAGCAGCTAGAGAGAGAGGAAGCCATCTGGACAGACACACAGCCCTTTCCCTTCCCTCCAGTGTCTGAGGGGATGGGGGAAATCTCAGGATACTGGACATCTTCAGGTCCATTAACCCCAGAGGCCAGTTTGTGCCCCAGAATTTCTCTTTGCTGAAAGCTGGGCGTGCATCTCCAGAGAGAACTAACTGGATCAAGGTGGGGCTGCGTGGAGTATCTGGGTTCACCCTCTGGCGCTGCAGGCCTGCTGCTGGCCTATCGGAATCACTTCAGCAGGTCAAGCATGAAGCATGAAGAGATTCACCTCCCGCCCAGTGGGTAATTCATTCATTTCCGTCTGAGACAGCTGGGTCTTGACCTCTTTAATTAGCCAACATGGCTGCCTCCACAACGAAGTCAACAGTGGCTTGGGAAGCCATTAGGAGATAAGTCTTGCCTGGGAAGGCACGGGATCAGGAGATCTCACTGAAGAAGCAATAATCTTAATAACAATCACAATAATAATTCTAATAAGAATTATTAGTATTCTGCCAATATTAAGTCCCGTGTCTTTTCATTTAAATCTCCCAACAATCTTACCGGCAGATTCTTTTTCTTAACTGCATTTACCAGTGAGGAAAGAGCTTTAGAAAGAGTAAGTGCCTGGTCCAGAGTCACATAGGTAGAATGACTTATGTGTTACTGCCATCTGTGACTTGGCTAACAGTCGTTTAATAAAGTAGGGGCAGTTGGAGTCGGGGTGGACATCTGTTTCCCCTTCTTCTGCTGACCACCCTAATTTTCCTTTGGGAATCAACTCCTCCCTCTCAGGCAGTTACTCCCTTCTCTGACTCCAGGAGTGATTCTGTGGTCCTGGCCTAGCAGATGAGTGTGATCTATCTCTGGGTTTCAGAGATGAGGTCAGACATGGGCAGGTGGCCCAAGCCAAGAAGACCAGAGCCTTCCTAGAACTTTTTGTTCATTTGTTTTTGAAATGGAATCTCACTCTGTTGCCCAGGTTGGAGTGCAGTGGCAATCTCAGCTCACTGCAACCTCTGCCTCCCAGGTTCAAGCGATTCTCCTGCCTCAGCCTCCGCAGTAGCAGGGACTACAGGCATCTGCCCCCATGCCCAGCTAATTATTGTATTTTTAGTAGAGACAAGGTTTCACCATGTTGACCAGGCTGGTCTCAAACTCTTGACCTCAAGTAATCCACCTGCCTCAGCCTCCTGAAGTGCTGGGATTATAGGCGTGGGCCACCATGCCTCATCTCCTCCTAGCACTTTTGAAGGACTTTCCAGGAGAGTGGAGCTGCCTTTCTGCTGGAGAGGCTAAGTTGGGATGACTCCAAACTGGAGATGTTATATATGTCTTTGCCACCACATGAGTACAGGCTGTCTGAGCATAGAACAACATGGAGAAAAGGCTCCCAGACATAGACACAGAGTGCTGGGCATGTCATTTTAGCCCCCAGGTCTGCCTTCTTGAAGTCAGAATTATCTCTGGACTTTCCTGTTGTGTATGTCAATACATGTCCTTCATTTGTTGGGCTGGTTTGAGTTGGTTTCTGTCACTTGCACCTAGAAGATTCCTACCCGATGCATGATTTTCCCATTTCAAACTACAGTTACATCTGCAAGAAAGACTCGGATTACATTCCCACCCTACTCCTTCCCTCCTGAGGTTTGAACACTTCAGTCCTCATGGGACCGAAAGAATCAGGCCAACTCTTGGCTTTTTCTCTGTGTCTTCAGCAACAGCCTCCTTCCTGATGGCTTCCATACCAGAAGCCACACTGCTCCTGACATTTTCACCAGAATATTCCTCCAACACAGAACCAATTGTACCTGCAGAAAGGTCCAAGGTCTTGGCTTTGTGCCTGGCTCCCAGCCTCTCCCTGGCCCTGCTGGGTGATTCCCAGCTCCCAGCTCCATGCCTCTGCTCATGGGGTTTTCTCCACCAGGGCTGCCCTCACCTCTTCTCGCCAGAGGAATCCCATACTTTGTGGAATGTGACCTCCTTTGTGAGGTCCCCCTTCTGCGGCCTGTGCAGGCCTGGATCACTGTCTCTGTGATGTGTGTGTGTGTGTGTGTGGGAAGGAGAGAAGAGTGTGGTGGCCAACAGCCTGGATCCTGGAGCTGGACTGCCTGGCCATAAAGCTTCTCTCTACCGTTCATAGCCTTGCCGCCTTGGGCAGGTTACCTCACCTCCTTAGGCCTCAGTAGTTCATCTGCAAAATGGGGATGATAAGACCTCCCGTGCAAAGACACTGTATTTAAACCAGCTAATCCATGTACAGTACTCGGCACCATTCTATAGACACAATCAACCCTCCATATGCATTGCCCATTATGGGGACTGCTGTTTGTACTGATCACATAGAACTTGTTCACATCTCTTGTACAGTGCAGTCCCTGACTCCCTTTACTCTCAATCATGGATGTGACTAATTTATCTGATAGGCTGTGAACTTTCTGAGATAGTGCCTGATCATTTCTGAATGTCCAATTCCATGCAGACTGCCTGGTGCATAGGAGGTGCACAGCTTGGACAACAGCACTGTCCTATATTGTGCACCTACTACGTGGCAAGCATCATGGTAGGTGCTTTGCACACATTGTCTTTTTCAAAATGCACATTGTCAAATCCCAAGGAATTTTCTACAGTCCTCATTCTTTTGAGATAAGGGAGGCTCAGACAAGCCCATAAGATAAGCAGCTTGCCTAAGGTCACCTGGCTGGGAGAAGGGCAGAACTGGGATTCGAATGCCAAAGGCAGGGTTGCTCTCCCCACAACCTCAAAGACAAATGTCTTTGTCTCCCCAGGCCCCTCCTTGGGGAAGCAAACCTCTGAGCCTCCAGAAGCCTGGGGTTGGCACCAACTGTAGGAAACGTCTGCCCCTCTCCAGGGTACCTGCCCTCTGGGACTGCAGGCTGGGTGGGGGCTGCCAGTTCCCCAGGCAGGCTTGTGGGCTGCCCACCTGAAGTCTTACCAAGCCTGCCAGTAGTAGACAGGTAGGTCTCCTCCAAGGAGGAGCAACTGCCCCAGCACCAGGAAATGTTGGCAAATGATGACTTTGAACATCCCCCACCCCAGGGAAGTGCCAATAAGGAAGTTAGGCCCCTGGGTTCTGGAGGCTTCAACATTCCTATGGGAAGCAGCAGAGTCTGTGTGTGAAGATGGTGAAGATGGAGTTGAGCTCAGGAAGAGGTATGCACATGATGACCATAATACAGAAGCCCCTAAACCCTCAACCCTAAACCCGAGGACAGACAGGTAAATGTGCAGATTTGGGCAGATGCTGAGCAATGGTAAACTCCTCCCTAGCCCGTGCAGACCTGGGCGTGACCACCTCACTGACCTCACCTCCCACCATCAGCTACTACCCCTCTCCTGCCTGAGCCACTCTGCCCTCCTCTTTCTTTCCTCCTATTCCCCCTTCTCAGAGATTCTCCACTGACCCAATCTTTTCCTCCCCTACCCTTCACTCCTGAAGGACCTGGCATTCTCTTGGGAGAAGTCTGCCCTGATTCCCAGGCTATCTCCATGGCATGTGTCAAAACTGTTTTGAAAATGACTATCTGTGCAAGTTTTCCCTTTCTGATTAGAACCATGTATGATACCTCGTCCTGTTAATCATTGTGTCTTGTTTACCTGACATGCAGGAACTGCCCAATTAGTGCTCACTGGATGAATCATCTAGAAGGACACTCTTGTACCCAGGCAGCCCACTTCCAGCCATGGACTTAGAATCCACTGCAGCGTAGAGTCAGTGTGGCATAGTGGGCAGGAGTGCAAGCTTTGCAGCCAGATTGCCTGGGCAAGTTATTAAATCTCTCAGTACCTTGGCTCCCCATCTGCAGTGTGGGAATAATCATGGTGCTTTCCTTGTAGAGGTGATAGGAAGATTAAATGTGTTATTATATGGAGAGCACTTAGCACATCATACATGTTATTTTATGTACTTTAGCGATGATTATCATAGTTGTGTAGACAATGAGAACTTCAGGGATTGATAGGGGATATTCAGACTCTCTCTCCCATTTTACAGATGAGGAAACTGAGTCTTAGTGAAAGGGACTAGCTCAACATTACATAGCTAGAAAATCTCTCAAGTCCATGCACCTCATGACTTTTCAGATCATTACCTTATGAGAAAAATGAGATTTGGGGCCAAAGAACAACATTCCTTTCATTTTTATTCATTTTTCAAATATTTGTGTGGCTCACTGTTGATCATCGGAATGTTTTTTTTTTGAATGAATAGATGAGTGAATGAAAGAATAAATGTTGGGGGCCCCTGTAGTTAAGGAAAAAACCCTGCAGTGTGGGTTACCAAATCCCCGGCTGGCATGCCCTACAGTTCCTTCTTGTGCCCAGGGCAGACATAGCTAATCAGTCATAGCATGCTTTTGCCTAAGCCCGAACCCAGCCCCAGAATCCTTCTTATCACAGTCTAATTTCATTGATCAGGCATGGTGCCTCAGATGAAATCTGTTTGCCTTCCTGAGTCTGATCTCAGGAATCTCTTCGATTATGTGGTTTCCTTCTTTTTTTCCTTTCATCATTCCATCTCAGGCTCTTTCACTCCTATTTCCCACCCTCCCCACCTCCATTTTCCCCTCTCTCAATCTTGTGTACCTGGAGGCATAGCCCTTTCCATTCTGGGGAGGACGTACCCGAGGGCTCGAGGCTCCCACTTCCCTGCTTCGATGGAGAAGGCGAGGTGGTCCAGCAGGTGCCGTGGGTCCCTGACCCAGCTGACCGCCACCCTGGGCCAGCTTCTGAGAGTCCCGCCTCCCAGTTGCTGGAGGGGTAGTGGCCTCACAGGCAGCCCTCCTCTAGATGCAGCGGGCACAGAGGGTGAGACGGAGTGCTGTGGGCAGCCAGTGGGCCGGCTGCTCCTGCCCTGCGCAGGCTCTGCCCCTCCTTCGAGGAAGTTTGCTATCAACTCTCCCTGCCCTGTTAAACAATCTCATAAGGAAGGAGGAAGTTTAATCTAAGTGCTCATGGGGGAGGAAATGAGTCTAAAGTCTTGCCCGGCTGAGGAGTGGCTTAGAGCCTGCCTGGGGCCTGAGGAGAAGGGCCATGTTCCCTTCCTGTAGAGCTATCCTGGCCTTGGCAAGGAAGGTTTGGGTGGGAATTCAAGCAACTTAATCAGGAACGAGATACCACAATCTGCCTTCGAAAACAGCCAAAAAACCTTACAGAGAACCCGAGCCTGTGCTAACAACCTCCCTAGGGTCTCGGGGGTGTAGGGCTGGTAAAGCGAGTAGCTGCAGCTGATGATCACCTGCTCTGAGGACTGGAGTCGGGGGATGCTGGAGGGGTTGGCTGGGAAGAGGGGAACCCAGGCAAGAAACTTGGGACAGGAAAGATGGAGGACGTCAAAGGCGACTGCAAGATACTAAGCTTGGATGATGGAAAAGGGAGGCTCCTTGGTCAAGAACGAGGAAGATGGGGGAGAGGAAGTGGTTTGGGGAAAGGTTCTGGATTTGGGTTGGGACACACTGAATTAGAGGTTAAAGCTGGAGAGTGTGGGGTGTGGATAAAGGGAAAGAGGGAGAAAGAAAAGAAGGGCTGGTCAGTGGTAGACTTAGTGAAATGGTAAATGCAGCCTTTGTCTCCCTTCTCTCTCCTTAGGACCCAAAGTGCAATGAGAGGGGCTCAGCTTCCCCCTCCCCTGATCCAGCACCCCCAGGCTTTGTCACAAATCATGGTCTCTTTCCCAAATGCTTTCCTGTTAGGAGGAGTTCTTGCCTCGGTCCTTGGCACACAGGCTCCTGGCGACTTCCTCCCTTGTTTGCTGACCCTGAATGCTTCTGTAGGCTATGTAGTCCACTTGGAAGGAATATTCAGGGGCATGAGGTCCAGCAGCTGGTCAGGAAATAAAGATGCGTGCCCAGGGAGCTGGTGCAAGGGAAGACCAGGGAGCGGACTTTGTGTGATGAGGTGCCTGGAGTGGCCCCAGTTCTGCTGTTTCAGCTTCCCATCCCCAGGTAGGCACGTGGGCCCCACTCAGGGTGTACCCCAGGGCCAGGCAGTGCTTTCCTGCACCCTGACTGGCTTTAGGACTGGCCCTGTCCTCTGTCCCACCTCCTCGCCTCTTGTTCTCCCTTCTTTTGCTAGGACAGCTCTGCCCATGACTAGTGCCTGGGTCTCGTTCAGACCTGACCTGCAGTGTCACCTCCTCAGGGGGCTCTCCTGACCCTCACTTCCAATGTAAATAAGCACACAAGTGTAGGGGAGTAAAAATGGCTTTCTCTACCCTTCTAGCTTCCTTGGCTGGTCAGGAATTAAACTGACAGCAGGGAGAATAACAGGAGAAAAGGTACAGACATTTATCACATACGTGGGGGCATCCCAGGAAAGAAAAGGAATTCCTACACTCAGTGAGATTTAGAAGCTTATATACCCTCTTCACAGGGGAGAGAGGGGTGGGGTGTCAGCACCGTAGGGGAGAGTAAATGATTTCTGGGGAAGACGAGTGGCCCTCAGCAGGACTGGTGACGACAGCCTGTGACAAAGGCTATCTGGATGTGGTGTGGACCTTCACACTCCTGTGAAACGAGCCAGTCTTTCTGGCAGATAAGATTTCCTGAGTGGAGATTCATGGCCACTGTGTTACCTCTGGAGAATCTGTCTTTAGACAGAAAAGGAAAACTCGGAAAGCCCCTCCCTGCAGTTGCTGTTCCCCAAGTGACCTCAGTTCAAAGTCTCAGAGTGGCATATTTTGGGGTGTCATTTCAAAACTCCTTCACAAGCAAATCATTTAAAATTGAGACATTCTGTGAAAGAACCCATGAAAGTGATTCCAGAACTTTTCTCAGTGGGTCGTCAGGGAAGGCCTCTCTGAGGAGGGGTGCTTTGAGGTGCTGTGGTAACAAACGAACACAGACCAGTGACTTAACAACACAGCTGTGTATCTAACAGCTCTGGAGGGCAGGAGCTTGATATCGGTCTCACTGGGTTGGAATCAGGGTGCTGGCAGGCTTGCATTCCTTTCTGGAGACTCCAGAGGAAACGTTTTTTGTCTTTTCTAGTGTCTAGAGGCCACCTGCATTCCTTGGCTCATGGCCCCTTCCTCCATCTTCAAAGCCAGCAATGTTGGGTCTCCATGACAATTCTTCCTACCTTACATCTCCCTCTAACTCTTTTCTGCTTTCATCTTCCACTTTTAAGGACTTGGTGACAACACCGGGTCCACTTGGATAATCCAGGTTACTCTCCCTATCCTAAGGTCAGCTGATGGGCAACTCTAATTCCATTTGAGACCTTAATTCCCCTTTGCTCGGTTATGTTATATATTCGAATGCTCCGGGGATCAGGATGTAGACCTAATCCCATTAGGGGGCCAAGAGTCTGCTAATCACAGGTGCAATTGTGTTTCATTTTCTTTATCAAACTTAACAGCCTGAAATGATATTTCCTGACTATTGTTTACTTGTCACCTGTCTTGCTCTACTGGAAAGCAAAACCCAAGAGGGCAGGGACCTTGCAGGTGCTGCTCGTTAGAACAAAGACTTACTGAATGAATGGATCGGGTGATTGAGCTTGAGCTCATTTCTGTATCAGAGTTAACACAGACAGCACTGGTCTGAGAGCCGGGAGCTGTGACCCCCACTGCACCCTGTGAAGTTGTGTGACCTGGAGCCTTCCTTTCCCCTCTCTGAGTCTCAGGCATTCTCACCCCAGCCCTGGGAGGAAGGAAAGGCACAGGGCAGCCACCCTGAGGTCTTCAGATCTTGAAGGAGTTAATTGCTGTCATGAAGTCATCACTTGTTTCCTCCCAATGGCAAAGGTCCTGCTGAAGCAGCAGCCTGAGCAGGTATCCGAGGAACACTCTCCCCAGCGTACACTCGGGAGCAGTCAGTGGGGTCTGGCATTGGTGCTGGTTCCTGGGCATGCCACCCCCGGCCCCACCGCCCCCTGCCCTACCACCTCCCACCACCGCCCAACCCATGACACAGGTGGAGAACTTGGGTCCTGGGTCAGACAGGCCTGCTGGTATGTCCTAACTCTGTTTGCCACCGGTGGGGTTACCTTGGTGAGTAATTTCCCCTTCCCAAGCTTCACTTTCTCTTCTATTAAGAAGGATAATCTCTGTGTTACAGGGTGGTCAAGAGAATAACGGAAGAGAGTACATTGGAAGGGCCTGGCCCATAGGAGATGCTGAGTAAATGCTGCCTGTCATCATCATTACTTCTTATTGGTGTAATATCACCTGTGAATCAGAATTTCCTGGTGAAAGAGATCAGAATGCCTTCTCTTCTGTCTCAGAGGGCAACATTGACAGAGTGGGTTTCAGTGTCAAGTCTAGATACAGGGCTTGGCAGGAGGTGTTGAAAGTACAATAATTGGTGATTCATCCTTTCCCTGGGGTGTTGGTGCCAAAGGTTGCTGTGGTGGCAGGGAGGAGGTGGAAGTGCCAACAGCCCTTTCATTGCCAATGAACTTGGACACTGCCTCTGCTGCCAGCCACGCTGTATATATACTTAGGGAAGTTATTGTAACACAAAAGTGTTCCTGGGAACTGACGACTCTCTGGCCCAGTGGCACAGGGGTAAAAGAGTTTACCAAGACAGTTGTAGGTAAAGAAAGGTAGGTTTGTTGCAAGGAGGCAGAGGGCAGCCTGCATGAGAGAAGCCGACTGCAAAGAAACAAAGGCTGGCTGGAGATCTTATAGGACGGTGCTGATGCTGTGTGCTAAAGATGGCTGTGCGCAGCACCACGACGCCAAGCTTGCAGTGAGCTCGTCTGCAGGTGTCTGGTGATAGCTGGGCGCAGGAAGATGGTGACCTATTTGTGCAGGAGGGCTGTGTAATGGACCATGACGAAAGGCAGACTTGTGGCTCATCTGCTTTCTCCTTTTGCTTTCCCCTGGTCCCACCAGCCTGACTCCCTTTCCCTAATTAGGACTCCACAGAAAGCTTATTTCTCTTATTTAGTTATAAAAATAATACAGTCCCATCATGAAAACTTTGGAAGGAAACGAAAGGGTGAAGGAAACAAATCAGGCAAGTACAGTCTCCCTTGGGGTTGGCTGTTAGCGTCTTGGGCTATTTCCTTTCCCGGTTGTGTTGTGTGGCTCTTCCCATGCATCCAGCTCGGTATCCTCCTCTCTTCAATTGTTGTTACAGCTGGGGCATCTCCCTGGGTCATTAAAAACTTGTCAGTGTGATTTCTTAATGACTGCAGATGATCACATGTCACAAAGCACCGTCTTCACCTCCCCTCCTCAACTCCGGGGCGCTTAGTTTCTGGGTGTGTGTGTATTAAAATACACTACAATGAATCTGTACAGGCATATCTTGTGACTTTTGTGCACCTCTGTTTCCTTCTTTTAAAAAATGGCCCCTAAATCTATAACAGTTTTAAAATGGGACCGATAATTCCAGTCTTCCCACTCCGCAAGGTTTTATGAGGCTTAAAGGAGGAAACAGATATCAAGGTGCTTTGAAAACCATGGAGAAAAGAGTCACCCAAATGCAAGGCCAGATTTTGAGCATTACCTGTTTAAGATAGGAGGGGTGTGTGTGTGTGTGTGTGTGTGTGTGTGTGTGTATGCTTCAACAGTTGGGAGATAGATGAGGGTGGAAATAGGAATAACAGCCACCACAGCATTCAACATTTATAGAGCACCTGCGGGGCACTCTATTAAACAAGATACATTCATGATCTGAATCCGTTCTAACAACCACATCGAGGGGAAGTACTATTTTTACCTAGAGCTTACAAATGGGGAAACTGAGGCACAGAGCAGTTAAGCAATTTGCTTGTAGAGACCCAGCCTTCAAGTGGGAAGTTGAGGAAGGACACACACACACCCTTTCCCTGACAGCTGCAGGCATCAGCAATGAGGGCCCCACAGCACTACAATAGTGGATTCCCTGGGGCTTCAGAGCACCCAAGATCCCCAGCATTTCCTGAAATGATGTACTGTTCTTTATTG